TACAGATTTCCGAAGGGCGGACGGTGGCAGTGATCCTGGCCAGCTAGCCCCAGCCTACTTGGGAAGCCTCAGACTTGTCAAAAACATCTTGATTTTTTTTTTTAAATGGTGCCTGAGGAGCTACCCGTAAGGTTGTCCTCTGGCCCCTGTGTACAGGTAAACACGTATGCAGAAGATCAGTGCATACATAGATGCACAGATACACACATACAGCATCATGGTATACACAAAGAATGTGCTGTTTGCTGTGCTGTGTGAAACATTTACTTTAATTCAAGCCAGATGATGTTAAATCTTTCTGGGGCAAAGGCCAGTGCTGGACATTGTAGAGAAGATAAGTCATGTTTGTGCATAACACAAGCTTGGACCTTGCCCTTGAACAGTCTCCAGTGTCATGGAGCTAACACACCAAGGGCAGCTCTGCTCTCTCCAGTTCTAATGGGCTCATAAAGGCCCGAGCACCTAAAGCTATGTCTGGCTTTTCCCTGCCTCTGATTCCAACCTGACTACTTTCCCTCCTTCTGCATGTGAACCCACCTTCTAGCCTTTCAGGGAGACTTGTCTTTCACTGTACAGCTTAGACCTGGACTCCACTACTGAGAATGAGGGAAGGTCAGAGCAAAATCAACACAAACCACATGGCCCTCATCTTAGGTAAGATGGCTGGCTGGACAACTTTCTGTCATGATTAGGGGTAAAAGATTCTCTTCTTTTAAAATGGGAGCCCACATTACTTTCAAGGACTGAAACTGAGAAGCCCATGGTCGTTAAGTGCCCCATGTCTAACTCAGGAGACGTCAGGTGTCTGAGAGTGTCTCAGGACATGCTTTCTGAGAACAGGATACAGAAGCTTCCTAACAAGAGTGTGTTAGAGTGGCGGTGCCACCTTTTGCCAAGAAAGAATCACAGAAGCACTAGAATTTTGGGTTGGAGAGATGCTCATATTGGGCTGAGCGTTTGATGCCCTTGCAGAGACCAGAGTCCACTTTCCAGGTCTCAAATCAGGTGGTTCACAGCCACAGGGAACTACAGCCCCAAGAGATCTATATTGCCCTCTTGTGACTTCTGAGGTGCACATAGGTCCACATAACTACACATAGATACACATGCTCACATCTGAGAAAAACACATCTTTAATTAACAAACAAAAGAGAAGTAATAAGATCTACTCTCAGGAGGTGTGGTGCTCAGTGTGGAGGAGCTTGCCTTAAGCTGCCTGAGGCTTTGAGATTTCCTCCTTTCTCCCCATTGCTTTACAAGATGCCCCTCACTGTTGTGATATCAGTGTGGTATTCTCTGTCCATTCAATCACATCATTTGGTTTTCTCTTCCACTCAAGGTAACATGAGCACAACAAAAACATTTACCATACCTTCCTGAAGGTGGCTTGGCCCTGGCGCCATTCATTACATAGCACAGGGGAGACTACTGGGGACTCATAGGAGAACCTTGTAGCTCCGTGGTTAGAAACAAGGGCACCAAGTCTGTGGGATGCAAATTCCTCATCAGGTTTTTCTTGCAGACACAGAGCCCTTTGCTGAAATAAGTCACGTGAAACAACACAGTAGCCTCATGTGAGGCCACTTGGCCCGAGACACTGGATAAAACCTCAGATATGACTTGATCATGGAATGCTGAAGAAGGGTTACATTCCTCAAGACTTCTCTGTAGTGACTCAAAAATAAGATGGATGAAGAATTTCATTTCCACCCACAAAGTACTGCAAAGTATTGTCTAACCAAAACAGAATCGAAAACTGCCATGGGAAGCTGATGATAGACATAATGAATACACCCAGAGGGGAACACCACCAAGGTCCCTGTTTGAGGGAAAGAATGCTTCCAACATTCTGCCAAATGACCGCTAAATCCCTGTCACAAGGAACAAGTGCAAATGGACTCTGGGATAAACCTCTGTTAATCTCCAGGCCTGAGCGAATCTTTTCAGTATGCCCTCCATGGTAGCTTTGCCTCAGCAAGTGAGTGGATTCTAAGATGGATTCAAAAGCAAGAAATTTGTGAACCTATAGTATATGACAAGGACACCAAACTCACTAGTCCTAATGGTACAAGTCTCAAGGTAGTGATTTAATCTCGTGCCAGGAACTGGGTTTTACAGCCTGTTTCTGGCATGTTGAATCTTAGCTGTGTAAGCATGGCTGCCTTTCACTGTTTTGTTAGCATTGGGAATGCAATAAGGGTGGGTGAAGGAGAAAGAGGTACAGACAAGCTAGCTTGCAGTCTTAGGAAGAACATTGGGGAATTGGGATTTTTTTTTCTAAACTGCTAAATTGTCTAACTGGATTGATGATATATGACTAACCTACAAATATAATAAAAACCCCTTGGAATATAAATATTAAACAAAACCTGTTTAAATCTGTATTTAATTATGACTTTTGTTTTTGCCTCCCAGAAGATGTGAGAATTTTAAGTGAAGTCCACAGTTTATAGTCAGAGTCAATTACAGTTTATAGTCAGAGTAAAGGTTAGGGTCAAACATAAACTGAAAAGACAGAAAGTCCCATACTACAAAGATGAACCAGAGTTCTGGCTGGTGTGTGTGAAAGGTTATATGCTGAGAGAGTTTTGCATTGTTTTCTCACAACAAAAATATGCAAATGTGCAAGTTAGATTGGTTTGAGTCACATCTGAAACAGTGTGGTTTAAGAAAATCAACTTGCAAGCATGCAGGAAGAACTTAAAACTGTCCATCATCATCACCCCACTCCCATCCTGTGACCTCGTGCTTAGGCACAAAGCACACAGTCAGTGAGGTCATACATGAATAGTACGGCTTCTTCACCTTTGGGTCAAGATTGGGTGCCTAGTCTGACAAAATGATTATCAAGTGTTTGAATGCCACTTGTTTTTAATTAAGATTCAGTGTGTGTGTGTGTGTGTGTGTGTGTGTGTGTGTGTACCATTGTGCACATACATGTTCATGCACTCCATGGCCTGAACGAATTTGGAAGTCAGAGGACAACTGTGAGAGCTGGTTCTTTCCTTCTGAGGTTCTGGGGATCCTGTACAACCGTGCCTTTACCTGTTGGGCCACCTCACTTCCTCTAGGTAAAATACTATTAAGGGGGTAGGGGTACATTAATAACCTAAGTACAGTGTGGGACATTGGAGTGTCCCTCTTACAAGCTTGGAGTGTCTCTGTGCACAAGTCCATCAAAGGCCTTTTCTCTACCCTTCATTCAAGGTATCCTGTTTACAGAGGGGACTTCCTTCTATCAAGGGGCCACCTATGCACACACTGGAACTGGACTGAATGGTCGCTTATATCCACTAAGTCATGGGATGCGGTAACAGGAAAAATTTCATTATAACAACATTTTTCCAACACTTATCTCCCCAAATATGTTGGAGGTGGCTTACTTTGCTCTAAAGATGGCTGTCTGTAGTTAGGACAGAGGGGATCGGAGGGAAGTGCTCACAGTCAGACAGCATGAATGTCTTTCATGATCTTTATAAAAATGTATGTATTATGTATGCATGTGCATGTGTGAATGCGTGTGTGTATTTGTGTGTGTGTATGTGTGTATCACTTGTGTTGGTGGATGGGTAGCCTCAGAGGCTAGAAGAGTTTCCACATGGGTGCTAGGTACTGAACTCAGGTCCTCTGGAAGAGCAGCAAGTTCTCTTCACCACTGAGCCGTTCCTCCAGGTTTCCTCACTCACATTTCAACTCCATCTTTACCAATGCTGGCTGGTAGGTTGTGCCTACTTACAGAAATATGTACTTACAGAAATACGTATTGCATTTTTTCCTTTGAAGAATCGAAGGGTGATTTTAATTACTTGCTGTGAGCCCTCATTTGTACAACTGTCTGGCCCCTTCCTGAAATGCTAGAAGTGTCATTTTGCCCTTTGAAAGGATTTTCCACATGTGGTCAGTCACCTTGTCTAAGTAAAACGCAGCAGCAGTTTGTGGACACTGTTGTGACATTTCCTGCCAGAACAGTGACTAAACATGAGAGGCAGGGGTACTGTGGTGGAGACCGGTTTACAAACATTATTTCCTCCTGAAAAATAGGCTTCTTTTAGTCAATGTTAAAATTCCAAAGCTAGTAAAAGATGGAAATACCAAGTCGTGAGCATTAACTCCAACTACGAAGTCATAAAGTAAATTCAAACGGCCGTCTCATTCAGTCCCCAAGGTCAAAGGACAGCAACCCTGAAATGTTTCTGTCTAAAAACACGGAACAAAAGGTTTGGGGATTTTATTCAGTAACCCATTTTGGCACTTGATTAAAGCATTCTTTCTAGTATGAAGACTAAGTCCCCACCTTGACAATCGGTGCTTCTGAGCTAACCTCTGAGGATACACACTGAGGCTGCCTTCTCTCTTCTCTGCATCCGCAATGAGGAGGAATTTCCCTCATCGCTGCTTACTCTGCAGATCCTGGAGATTCAGTTTCGCCTGCCTTGACCTTGACTCCTAAACCAGAATTCACCCCCACTTCCTTCTACCCCTGTCTGCACATCTTCCTCTTGTCCCTCTGTTCCCTGGGGTTTGATGTAACTGGGCCTGTAATTAACTGTGTGGTTTCATTTTGGATAGATAAATGTATGAGAAGCTGCAGTATGAATGCAGACAAATAAGATAGAAGAACTCAAATGTATGGAAGAGATATTTTAAAAATAAAATAGCCTGGCAAGGATAAATGGTGTTCATAAATTGTTATTCCATTACTAATGTTAATGCCATAATTTAATCTTATTTTAGAGCTCACTGATATGGCTGAGTTTACATTTCTGGATGAACTAAGATTGCACTATTTTTAGATAGTTCCTCTGCCATAGTTCAGGGCTCATATCACTGATCCAAGTATCTGGCGCTGTAAACTGTAAATAATTTCACCACCGTAATATTTACCCAGATATAGTGGTACCACTGAAATAGATGTGCACCAAGCCGAGGTCTCCGAGGAAGGTCTGCCAGAGGAATAAGGCTGAAAAGCAGGACTTGGGGGCCTGCTCCAAGAGCCTTACCTGACATCTGTGCATGCTATGCAGGGGACGCTGCGCTTGTTGCTGGTGATCAGGTTCAAAGCGACTGATGTGTCCTTGTCTGAGGTTGGGTGTGCTCCACATTTAAAGAAAAATTCCTGAAAGAGTGAGGGAAATATTTACATATATGGATACTGCCTGCTAATCTATACCTTTCCAAACTTTGTTTACTGCAAAAAAAAAATCATTTGTGGGTAAGGAAAGAAATCTGTCATTAGGCATGAGTTGGGAATAAGTCACCATCAACTTCTGGAAGGAAAGAGCAGCCTTGTCTGGTGCACAATTAGTCAGTAGTATCCTGAACATCCCAGATGACCCTAGGCCTTCTCTAGATCACTCTGTAAGTATACCTACAGTGGGAGCATAAGTGTGGAGGAAGGGATCTGGAGAGCTAGGGGACACAGACTCTCAAGTACCACGATGGCTAACATTGAGCGACAGCCTGACAGGCTCCATCTAGCACCACCTAGGCTACCCATTCTAAGGATGGCTGCCACTATCCCAGGAGCTGAGATCCCAGACTGAATAAAAAGGAGGAAGCAAGCTGAGTACCAGGATCCATCACTCTTTGTTTCTTGACTGTGTGGATACAATGTGACAACTGCCTCAGGCTCCTGCAACTTGTAACTTCCCAGTTGTGATGGACTACCCTCAGACTGTGCACCGGGACAAATCCTCTCCTAGGTTGCTTTTGTCAGATATTTTTGTTGCAGCAATAAGAAAGGCAACATGAGAATACACAGCATGGAAATTAGATAGATAGTCCTGGACAGGAGGGCAGGGTGCTTCTTCCCAGCCTAACTCACAGCATGAACTCACACAGAGGGCCCAGCCCTAATAACAGGTAGCTGAGAGTTCAATTAAGCATTCTTTGCTGATGTATTTCCTTTCCCAGCTATGTCCCCTGACATATATTTATTTTAGGATATATTCTTTTTTCTTTTCACTCATTTCCTTCTTTCCTGTTTCCCATGTTTCCTCCTCAGATTCCTTCTTTCCATTTGCACATGAGTGTCACTGGTCATTCTGTTCCTTGTCTCTAGTCTTCCACGGGACCCCAGATCTTATGCAGTGATGAATCACCTAAGCCATGCATTACTGAGCGTCAGGAAAACCCTGAATCCTACAGTTGCTCCCAAGTACAGCTTGTGTAGACTAAGAATGCGGATCGCATCTTCCCTCATAACACCAGACTGGATGTCGATCAACTTTTATGGGAAGCTCCAGGCATGGGACATGAAGCATTTCCACTTTGCAGGCCAGAAGGTCTTTCTTGTACTTCTCAACTTGGCTCTGCATCTGTAGATGACCTGTGAGCCTAGATGACGTGGCAGAAGTAACTCTTCCTAACAGAGCTTTATTTACAAGATACATGGCAATTTTGAATTTTACCTGGGTCATGGTTTAGCTCCTCTGGAAAATTTGTGAAGTTTGTTTATTAATTTTGCATCTTAATAATGCCCATCACAGGGTAGACATTGGATATATTTATAAAATGGAAAACTACAACATTAATTACTAAATAGAGACGTTATGCATTTGATGACAGCCCTCGAGTTTGTTCTCCCCTGTTTAAAACCTGGTGAGTCACCACAGGGTACAACACCTGAGTCTCTCTAAGTCTAAGCTGTCAAAAAAATTGCTTGGGGAAGGTGTCCACCTCCAGTTCCCAGTTTGAGGTTGGGGTCAAGGTGTTAGCTAACTAGTATTCATTTGACCCAGGATGAGAGTGCAACAGCCAACCATTGTATCAGCAACCTTCAATTCACTGGTGTTAAGCATTTCAATGGACTAGATGGCTGTGCGGGTTATACTCTGGGACCTGAGTTCAAGTTCAGGGTGCCTTCAAAGTCCAGTGTATAAACCCAGGTCCTTGCTTCTTCATCATACAAACTACATGGCCAGTTGCTTCGTTTTATTGAACAGTGGATATTGTTTTAGCTAGTGTTCTATTGTTATGAAGAGATATCATGACCCTGGTAATTCTTATGAAGGGAAGCATTTAATTGGGGCTTGGTTATAGTGTGAGAAGTTTATTCCATTGTCCTCAGGGTTGGAGCATGGTGGTATGCAGGGAGGCATGGTGCTACAGAAGTTGAGAGTACTATATCTGGATCCGCAGGTAGCATGAAGAAAAACTTGGGTCCTGGCTTGAGCTTTTGAAACCCCAAAGTGACACACCTCCTCCAACAAGGCCACACTTCCTTCAACAAGGCCATACCTCCTCCAACAAGGCCACACCTCCTCCAACAAGGCCACACCTCCTCCAACAAGGCCACACCTCCTCCAACAAAGCTACACCTCCTCCAACAAGGCCACACCTCCTCCAACAAGGCTACACCTCCTCCAACAAGGCCACACCGCCTCCAACAAGGCCAAACTTCCTAATGCTTGTTAAGTAGTGCCACTCACTCATGACCGTGTTTCAATATATCAGCCCATGGGGGCCATTCCTATTTAAAATACCACAGATTCTTTTCACTCAACCATTTGAAATGCTACAAATCTTTCAATATCAGTGAGAAAAGGATTTAAAACAATAGCTGACCACTTAAACAAAAGGTTTGGAAGGACAAGGCTGACGCTTTGGAATGGACTGGGCTGCCTTCCACTGCCCTTTGCAGGCATGAGGAAAAAAATACCCTCATCTGTAATATAAAGCAGTTCCCTCAAAAGAGCTGAGTTGGCAGGAACATGAGGATGTTTTTCATATACAGATACATAGAAAGTATTTATATTTTTTTCTTAGCTTGCAAAAAGCAACTGGTAGACACTTAGATAACAAATCACAAATTGTTCTAACACTATATGAAACTCAGACATATAAAAGCCAAACACCACATTATTAGGGGTAGATTTTATAGACAATGGTATCTTTAGAGATTAAGAAAATGTTAACTCCAATGACATGACAAATCTAACATACAACATTCCAACTCTGCATATTAAATATAATTGTAGCACTTTCTCTATAAGTCTGTGTAAATGGTGGCTTTTCTACAGTGCTAGAATAACTGGCAAGAACTAGGAAGGACTCAAGCTTTTGCCTAGCTTGCAATCTGTCCATTTCATCTGTCACTGCATCATGGATGCTGGCAGAAGACAAAGGATTCATGGATAGGGCTTTGTGCCTTGGCACTGGCAGGGAGAAGTGGGTGGACTCAGACAAACCACACTGTGTGAGTGGTGGCAGGCAGCTCAGGACTCTGAGCTCAGGAAGCTCCATCTTTATAAGGACCTGTGAGCGAGCCTTCATTTTCTCAGGAAGGGGAACACTGTCTTTATTGTACAGGATAATTAACAAATCTGCCTTTTGCTCTGTGGGGAGACACTGGCTTCATCTTCCAAGCTCATTAACTTTTTCCTGCAAAGCTGATCCAAGACAAAGGGTAGTTAATGGCTCCCTCTCGAGATGAGCAGAAGCAAGAGGCCAGAAACTGTCTCCCAGTGGTGCAAATGTCCTTCTTTGTAGGCTAATTACAAAGTGATCTAGTTGTTTCCACTTCCCTGCAGCCAGTGAGCTAAAGCTTTCCAGTCTGCATTTAAAGTCAAACAAGCACGCCAAACCAATAAGACAAAATATCAATGATGTCAGAAGAGGCATTTGCAAAAATTCCACTTTGAGTATCTCTGAGAGCTTACTGATAGAGGGGAATTTCACAGCAGCCTGGTACTGTAGGACCAACTGTCGGCTATAACTGCAACCTCACAAAAAGTAAATGGGGGCAGGGATCCTAAGAAACTACATGAATTCCTCTACATAATAGCTTTCCACTGAGACCCACTTACACACTTCTGGGACATCTTACTACCAAGAAGCTAAAATCTATGATGATTAGTGCTTAGTTTTGTCTGGTTTTCAAACGATGGCCAAACTATTAAAAGAGAGAGAGAAAACTAAGCCCAAGAAAAGTAAGACTTTAAAAAGAGTTCTTGGGTTTATATTGTGACTCTCTCAATGCAAAGCCACTATTTTTCCCTTAGTACAGTTAAATTAAAAAAAAATTGCAAACCCTAGAAAATTGTATTTCTCTAGGCCTTATGTACACATTGGCACACCGACCCTTCCCAGCAGGAGCCTGTGACCTCCATTCTCCCTGGTTCTGGTGTTCTCCTGACTTCCTATTCCAGATGGAGATACCTGATCCTCTAACCAGTTCACATCCACAAAGGATTGAGTCCACTCACTAGGAAAAGTCTGGCCTTCTGCAGCTCAAGTGTGCACTGGGACTCTGGCTGGCACCTTGTCTGCTTCCTCTCCAGTTATAGGATCCCTTCTCTTGAGCACTGCCCTTCTCGAACAACAGGAAACTGCAGACACAGGAATGCAAAGGAACATGCCTGCCAGCTAAAGTAGAGATCTAGGAACCCAACTGTGTCAAAATGTAGAGGATCTGCTGCTAACTTAACAATCCAAGAACCATTCGATAGGTCCCAACTTACTGTAAAAATGACCAAGAAATGGCTGAAAGCCTTCCTTCTCAGCCTGTTCAAACCTGATAAAAGTATGTGTGGGGTTTATCTTCTAGCGCCTGCAGGAGCTTCCTAATAGTTTTTATTGAACGTCCTAAGGTTACAATTTTTATAGGCATTGTTTATCAATCATGTTTTCACATAAAATGCCACCTGTGCTTACAAAAGCTAATTTCCATCTCAGTCTCCAACTCCTTTTTAGTGAAATTCATGAAAGGAGAGCCACACTTCTTACAGCAACATAGTCGGGACATCCATTTTTCATAGGGAAGGTTGGAACAATTGCACTGTGTGTGCCTAAACTGTATTGGGGTGGCCATTCCCATGGTCTAGACAGACTCCTGCTAAGGACACAGGGACACTGCTGGTAGCTCGGACCAGGGGATCTAGTGCCAAGGAACAGTCTGAACGGTGTGTCTATGGGAGGCACAGAAATGCTGACATCACCCTTGGTTTAGCCTCTCTGTGAGCAGCTGCCACCTAGAGCTGAAGGACAAATGAGAAAGTGGCTGAGTTATCATAGCTCTGCAATGGACTGTTTGGCTAGAGCTTGGACAGTGACGGGGGTATGGGGTCCCTGTGGGAAATATTCCCATAGATGAGGAGAATTGTCCCCAGTCTTCAG